TCGTGCAGTCGGATCGAGGTACAAGATCGAGGTTGGTTCGGAGAGGGTCTCCTCATGATCTCCGTGTTTGTTGGCTGCTCTTGTGCATCCTCGGGAGGGTGCCCTTGGATGTTCTGTATATTTGGGCTGACGGAGGGTTTCATGTTCTTGAGGGATATGTTCCTGGCCTACTCTAGTTCCTTCTTTAAACGTTGGTGGTATGATTTTCACAGCGCGCACTGTTGGGCACCAGTATGATGGTCGCCGGCGTTGGGTCCCGAAGAATATTTACCGCTGGCCCTTGCGAGATGGCGGCTTAATTTTCGCCGGCGCCTATGACTTCATCTCGTTCGCAAAGCTGACGATCATTGGGATGTGCATCATGCAGATGTTCGTCAATTGTGCAACAACCGCGCTCGCGAGTTGCACGTATCCCGCGTTCGTTAACATTCGCTTGCCTGGAGAACTACCACACGTTTTGATCAAGATTGCCCAAGATGGGCTCGAGACGGCCCAAGAGGCTTCAAAAGCGGCCGATCACTGCTCCAAGCGATGTTCCATCAGGGCCCCAAGACTCTAAACTCATCGATTTTCTTTCGAGTTGTTGTTTGCGCCTCATGTTCACGCTTTTCGGCTTTTCGCGGAGGTAAGATGGCCCAAGATGCCGCCAAAATGGCACCTCGACGGCCCACGAGGACTTCAAGATAATCCAAGAGGCCCGCAAGACGGCCCCCGAGGGCCCCTCGACAACGCTGGATGGACCCAAGAGGGCTTAAAATTTGCCCCATGTAGGTTTAAGAGGTCCCCTTCACTGCCCAACACGGCCCCACGACGGCCCCAAGAGACCCCCCAGACGGCCACGAAGGCCCAATGAGAAACCCAAGACGGCCCAAGAGGTCCCCATGACGGCCCCAGAGAGCTTCATGGGACCGTCATGAGTGCCCCTCGGGAGACCAGGACAGCCCCAAGTTGGCAAAAAGGAGGTCCATGTAGGCCCCGAGAAGTAAGACGCGTCCTCTTCCCCATCTTCATCGCCATCGTCTTCGTCGTCCTCCTGATGTCCATTAGCATTATAGCCATCATTATCACCAGCATCATCATCGTCAGTGCTACAACCAACTTCATCATTATCATCATCATCGTCATCATCATCATCATCAGCATCATCATCATCAGCAGCAGCAGCAGTATCGTCACGAGCGTTATCATCATATTTACAATCTGGCCAACTCACCGCATCTGGCAGAGGCGTACTCATCTGTTCACCATCATCCTCATGATCGTGTGATCGTCATCACCTTTGAAATTGTCACCACCATCATCAGTATCATATTCAGAATATTCACCTTATAAGTTTCGCTTGCGTTTGGGCGGCGTATTTTCGCTGGCGTTAGGATGAGGCCCTGGGACCGGCGTGGCACCCTCCACGACGTTTACCCTCCCACGCCTAATAAGGGAAATAGAGTAGGTCCGATTGTATCTGCGAGCAATGCACGCATCGGCCCCCCGGTCCTTGTCGGCCTTCTCGGCCGTGAGCTCAGGGCTTTGATAGCGACCTAACTTCCCACTTCAAGGATGCCGTTGTGCTTGTATGGCAGCCGTCAGTGCAGCCACGCAGTCACACAGGACAGCAACATCGGCGCCGGCAGCGCCAGCGCCGCGAGGAGGACGACGACGAGGAGGGCGGGAGGAGGAGCGGGAGCGGGAGCGGCACCAGACCCAGCCCCAGCCGCCAGAGCGGTTGCCCACAATCGGCAGCAGCAGCAGTGGCACCTGGGCGGGGCAGCGGCGGCGCTGCCCTCTGGCAAGCAACGCGGCAGCCGCCGAGCCGTCGGCAGATGCGCCGCGCTCAACGCGGGCGCGCGTGCTCGCCCGGGCCCCGCCCGCGCGGCTCCCATGCAGCGGCGGCCTTTTCGGTGCCGCGCCCGCCGCCGGCCCCCCCCCCCCCCCACCGCTCGCTGCCGCCCCCCTCCCCCGCAGCTTCGAGCGCCTCCCGCTGCCCCCCTCCCGTCCCCGCTCCTTCGTCGAGGGCAGGGTTGAGGCCAGCCCACTACCGTGCGCCTCTACAGGAGGCTTATAGGGAAGGCGTGGCTTGACCATGTGCGGGTTCGGCTTCGACCTCCCTCCTCCCTCCCTCCTCCCCCTCCCTCCTTCTCTCCTTCCTTCTCCTCCGCCTCCTCGTTCCCTCCACCTCCTGCTGCCTCCCTCCTTCCCCCGCCATCCCTCTTCCCCTCCTCTCCGTCGTCATCGTCCTCGCTTCGGCGTCACCCCAACATACTTATACAATATGTGCGTCGCCTGCTCGGGGCCGATGCGCGCGCCGAGAAACCTTATAGTATATGCGTCGTGGCGGGTGCTTTCTGGCCACACACGTCGGTAAACGATGTATTACAAGGTGGGTCTACTTTATGTTTGGGTCGGACGCGCGCCTCCAAGGATAACATCCAGCATTCGTGTGCCTTTGTGCGTCCCATCGCTGTCCTCTATCTCCCGCGTCCTCGTCCTCGTCCTCCTGGCTGTCGCTCTCGTCGGTGATGTCCTCTTTGTCCTGGGCGGCATCCTTTTATTTCCCTCCTTCATCTTTCATTTTCCCCCCTCTCGCTCTCCATCATTCCGACATCCCCTTCCTTTCCCATCCTGTTCTTCCGTTTCGGCACTCGTGTTGCCATATTCTTGCAGTCCTTGCATATTTTGCATATGCCTCCTCCCATCATCGTCTTCGTCATGATCATTTTATTTCACTGTTCCTCATCGTTCTCGTCCTCATGCTTATCCTCTCCTCCTCGCCCTCCGCCGAATCCTCAATATCGTCGTTTTGCATCTCCTGTCCCTCCTCCTCCGTCCGCCCCCCTCCCTCGGTAACCCTCGTTCGACTGGGGGGCACTGGCGCGAGCCCGATGTATCAGTGGCTGCCCCCTGCTTGGCAATCGCTTCGGAAGCTTGGCCGGCAGTGACTCATAGCAGCAGATCACGGATCCTGCCCCCTCCCTCTTTCTGGCTGTAGTTGTGCCACCGCCGCGACCAAGCAGCACGTCAGCCAGGCAAAACTAGGGCGGCGAGAGAGGTTCAGAATGAGGATCGAAATTTGTCACATGGTCTTGGTAATTCTCGGGCTTCCTCAGGCCTGTGGCAACCTCCCGCCAAAAGGTCCAGGCCCGCCTCGGGACCAGGGGCGCGCAGACAGCAAAGCATCCCGCCGCGTATGTGAAGTCCGTGGAGCCCCCTGGGGGGCCCCCTGGGCGGCTCAGAGAGCGGAGACCGTTCAAGACTGCGGAACAGACCCACGCCGTGTCAGAAACCAGGGCCCCCGATCTCAAGGTACGGTGACCATCCGCGCGCAGGCGCTAGGACGACGGCGGGGCCGACGAGGACGACGACGACGACGACACGAACACGACGACGACGACGAGGGCAGCACCGGTGGAGTCGGTGACTACGACACGGCGACGACGACGCCAACGATGACGAACGGGGGCGGCGACAGACTCGGCAGCAGCAGCATGTCAGTTCGTTGTTGCGCAGTGGGGCAGCATACACGACTCTTCGACGGTTGCTGTCCTCGGAGGTTCTCGATTGCTCGGCCGACGCGTCTGCGCCCCGGCAACTGCCGTTCGGGAGACATCAGGGTCGTCCCGAACGGCAAGCGTTGTGGAAGTCGATTAATGGATAGGAAGCATGTTGCCAAATAGGTCCCAGATGTCTAAAAGATGGTTCAAACATGTTTTAAACATGTTGAAGCACATGCTTTATAACGTGTTTACACATTTTAAACACATCTTTAATTCAATGAGTGATCGGACTGTTAGAGTGTCCATTGCCATCTCCGGCGTCCCTGTAAGCTCGGGACGGCCGAGGGGCGGTCCACGGCGCAGAGTCCGCCCCAGAGCTGGAGTCGGAAGCTGCGGAGGAGCGCTACGTGTTGAGAGAGCCGGGGCGTCGGAGGCCTGGATCGAGGCCGGCCAACCTCTAGACGTGTATGGAAGTCGATCAACGGAGAGGAAGCATGTCGCCAAATAATTTCCATATGTCTAAAGCATGTTTAAGCCATGTCCGAAACATGTAAACAAACAGTTTTCAAACATGTTTAAAACCTATCTATTTCAATGATCGGATTCTTAGAGTGTTCATTGTCATGGCATTCGCAACTGTACGTCGCTAGTGGGGGCTATTCGGTTTAGCATACGGTTGACCCTCGAAGCCGACTCCAAGCGACCAGCCTCCTCCCACCCACTCCCCCACCCTCCTTCTCCCTTCTCATCTCTCCTCTTCCTTCCCCCGCTCTCTCCCTCTTCATCGTCATTCTCCCTCCTCCTCCTCCTCCTCCTCCTCCTCCTCCTCCTCCTCCTCCTCCTCCTCCTCCTCCTCCTCCTCCTCCTCCTCCTCCTCCTCC